TCACCATCGTGTCGGCCGCCGACGGAGGCGGGGCAAACACCGCGGGACCACCAAATACTGCATCGTGCAACCAGCCCGCTCTACCAAGATGAGCCTCTGATTCGGAGCGTCGTCAGACAGACACCACTTGGGAATGGACAGGTGCGACAGCAGTCTACCAGGTCGGCCTACGACGTCTACAGTGTGCCAAACGCCGTCGCGCTGAACGAACCCTCAGCCACTGGGCGACTCTCAGCTGCTGTGGAAGTTTCAGGTTCGACCGCTTCTCTGCCTGCCTGTGCCAGTTCCATCCGAAAATTCCGTATTCCCCTAGCTTACTCCTAACAGGTCTGACAATCAGATTCGCAAAGGTGTGAGGACAGGGATGGAAATCTCATATCTTTATGTTGCTCACCGAAAAAAGTCTGTTTTGTGCCGACATTTCGGAGAGCTGGGCCGAATTTCTATAGTCAAAACGTCGGTTGTCAGTATCGATCAGGGATTTGAATGTCTGGCTGAGTGGGCTGAATGATTTTTTCTCGTTCGCTGTGTCTGCCATCGTGTAGATGTGTGCGTGTTTGACGACCATTGGCGTTCTGTTTCGTTTCCACCTTGTAGCCTTATCCAAACAACGGAGTTATACTACCATTACCGATCAGAGGTTTATGGCATTTAGGCCATCCTGCAGCCTTTAAAGTCTTGCACTATTACGTGCATAAAACAAATCAGGAGAAGAACGAGACACCAAAGTCAAGTAATGTGAACGTAAATTGCCCCACGATGGACCCAACGGAAGAGGAAGCAGACTTACCAACACCCTCCACCGAGGTGACGAAGCGCAACGCCAGCATGTTGGGCATTTTTTGTGGGTGCGCAACCTCAATATCGCCTGCAGTACCTTGTGTTGGTCCAGCACATTTATAACGCGGCCCGTTTAGGGGTAAACGCAAGCATTTATACTAGGGCCATGCCAGCGTACGAGAAAGAAATCGTTCAGTCCGAGACCAAAAGTGTTTGACCAGTCATTGAAAATTAGCCGATATTGTTAGTAGCCGGTTTGAAAATGGAATGCCTGCCAAGTTCTCCTATAACGCCAGTAAGAATTCAAGACTGTTCCGGTGAGAAAATTAAAGTTGAGACGAATATTTGCATCCCAGGTGCATGTATAGGTAAAGGAGAAGAAGAACCTTCGATCACCGGAAGTATGGTTTTATTCGTCGGAGTTTATCTCAGTTATCAGTCCTGGATTTGATTTCAGCCTCCACACGTGCCAATTTGGTTTTCGCGGACGATATCGTCCACTTTTTGTTTAACAGAGCGAACACATGATTGTACCCACTTGTGCAACATAAACCGCACACTTTCTCACCTGGCTCCGGACAACTGTGAGCTTGGACGCAGTGACTGACAAGTCTAAACAGTCCGTCTGCGCGTGCAACACACTCTGGAGCTTGTCCTCACACGACTAACCGGGCTTCCTCGTAGGTCCGTCAGAGCGCACCTGCGTACCACAGTAAGGAGTAACCATTCGAACTGATTTTTCAGTTTAGAAATAAATCGTCTTATCCTGTCAGTTTGTAGTATTTTTCAAACAAGGTCGTCATGTAAGTGTGAAGATGTAGTCCTTACTATCAACCTAACCGATCGACTCTTCAAGCGGGTTAACTTGTTGACATGATGATTAGATCCAGCGACTTATACGGTGCGACGATAAACATATGTCTGTACTATAATATCTCTCAGGTTCCGCAATACATACAAGTTTGCGCGATATACGCGCAGCCCGATTTACCCCGGTTATTTTTCTTCGCTTATAGGTAACACCACAGCTCTTTTTATTTTCCATTACTACTTACTTGTTTAGTATTAGTATCAGTATCAGTTTATTGAGGGAAAGATAGGCGAATGCCTTTGA